GGCGGCGGGCGCGGGGGCCGCGCTGCTGCGCGAGCCCGTGTACAACTGGCAGGCCACCAAGCCCACGGTGCAGGAGCGCTTCGCCTTCCTCTTCAACAACGAGGTGCTCTGCGACGTGCACTTCCTGGTGGGCAAGGGGCTCGGCTCGCAGCGCGTCCCGGCGCACAGGTGGGCCGCGGCGGGCCTGCGCGCGACCCTGCACCCGTGACCCTGGACCCCGCTCCCGGCATCCTGCACCCCAGGATCCCCGCACCTGAGCGCGCCCCGGGAACCCCACTGCCCGGATCCTGCAGCACAGGACCCCGGCTCCCCACGACCCTGCACCTGGGACCCCTCCACCTCCCAGTCCCTGCCCTGCACCTGAGAGCCCCTGGAACCCTGCCGTCCCCGCCTTGGCCCCCGGGCCCTGGGTCTCATGGGGTCCTCATCCCTGCTACCTCCTCCGCCCGGTTTGTGACCCCGGACCCCTCCATTTCAGGGCCTTGGCGACCCCATTCCCCTGAACACATCCTGGTACTCCCCGCACCCCCTCCACTCCAGCACCCTCTGGCTCCCCATTCTCCATCAGAGACCCTTGTGTTTCCACTCATCCAGCCCGGGGCCCCAGGCCTCCTCCAGAGCCCCCGACCTGCCACCCAGCAACCTGCCTGCGACTTCTGCCTGTACCGAGACCCCAGAACTGACCCTCACCTGCCTGGTCCCACCCAGCGACCCCCTGCTCCCAGACCCCTCTCATCTCACTCTCCCGTGTCCTCTGCATCCTCAGGCCCTGCTGCCAGCTCGCTGGTCCCTACCTGTTTTACATAGTTGGGGTCTCAGTGGTGTGGGGTGCTGCTGTGTGGCCCCGGGGGAACCCCCTGACCTGTGGCTTGTGCAGACCCCAGTGCCTGGAGACCTTTTTTGCTGGCGGCATGTGCATGGGCTTTCTGTGCCTGAGGGTCTCATTCTTGCAGCGTCCCAGGATGTGGCCTCAGCCCTTCCCCCAGTCCCGGAGCACGCAGTTGGTGGGTTTGCACGCAGCTGGCGACCTCTTCTTTGCTCGCCCGCTCAATACCCACCTGTGCTGATGGCCTTATGAGCAGGCATCTTGAAAGATGCTCCCTCCTCCCGTCAGGCCCCGGGCTGCTAGCAATGGCCTTATAAAGAGTGGACACTCGGGTTTCTGTTCCAGGAGTGACAGGTCCCGGTGGGCTTTGGCCGAACTTGGCGCATGTACTTGGTTGTCTTTAAGGTTTTATGGGTTTGGTGGCAAAGTGGGACCGTAGCCCGCAGTGCTGGAGCGAGGACGGGAGGAGAGGGGCTGGGTGTGTGGAACCGCAACAGGGCCAGAGCAGAAGTGAGGGGCCCTGTGGCTGGAGGGTTTGGAGCAAGCTCGCGGGAGGCCCTGAGTACACAAGGCCTTGGCCATGGGCAGCAAACCGGGAAGCAGATTCAGCTTCCCTGGAGTAACTGTCCGGTGCTGAGGTGGGTGAGGCAGCCTGGGGGGCTGTGGTGGGGTCCCCAGGCTTCTGGCTTCAGAGTCACAGCTGTGGATAGACGCGGCAGGGATTGGTGTTGGCTTGGGTGGTTGCATAGCAATGGCTGAGCAGTGGTTTCTTGACCTTTCTGTGCCTCTGTTTCCACGTGTGTAGTGGAGTCTGGTGGACTTGCTCGTCGCAGGTTTGCCGGAATGCTTTGCCCTGACTCAGTCCTTGTCACTAGCCCAGGGCTCATTCCCAGAGAGGTGGGAAGAACTAAAAGCAGACAGAGCCTAAGGCAAAGCAGGTGTCTCCTGCCCTGGCACTGGCAGCAGCAAGGACCCAAGTGCTGCCCGCAGGGAAGGAAGCAGGAGGGAGGCGCTGCAGCTTCCTCTCAGATCCTACACTGGGGTGCGGCTGCTCTCAAGAATAGAGCAGAAGTAGTGGGGTGTGGTGGCATACACCTATTATCCCAGCACTCGGGAGGCTGAGGCAGGAGGATTGTGTTTTGAGTTCAGTCTG